TTACTTACTTCCTTCTAAGCCTAAATAATTGAAACTGTTTTCTCTTTACTTACAGACTGAGAAGATGTGGCAGTGAAGAGGATGCCTTCAGATAATATCTTGTTTTCTCTACAAGAAAGCTGTCTAAGAGTCTAACCAGGTGCCTGAGCAAGGACCAGGGTTTTTGACATAATCGAGCAGTTTCTAATGACTTTGGGCTTTAAATGTCAATATGGATGGCATTGAGGAGAGCTACATCTGGGAGCGCCGCATTGCCCATGGCATTAGGTATCAAAAAGGAGCAGTCCCCTTCCCAGAATCGGTTGATATTGGTCTGGAGTTCAATGCGGCACTTGAAAGGAAGGAGAAGTTGGATCAGAGCCTGCTGACGAATAGTGTTATGCTGGAAATTTGTCAGTTTGCCAAAACAGTGACCAGGTCTGAGAAGTATTTCCTGTTCGAAATGCTGGAGTTCAACTTCGACCTCGGCTTTGACATAAACAACGACAGTCTGTGCTACATCTATGCAGTTCGTGTCCACAACAGAATTAAACTCCTGAAGGAGCAAATAAAGATGAAGCCAAATAGATGGAAAGAAACATTTCAGTTGCCAAATCCAAGTGTTTTAGCCGGGTCCAAAGAAGACGTGTCGGGACGATACTGTCCAAAATGGAACAAAATTGCTGATAGTTCAGTGCTCACTGTCTCCAGCAAGAACTGTCAGTCTTCAGACAACCACGAAGCTGAAACTACCAGAGATGCTAGCAATAAATACACTGTAAAAAAACAAGGAGGAATCCGTTTGAGAAAAACACTGGGCGCTAACCCTTTCTGTGCACAACTTGGTGTGACCCTAGCTGTTCGACCAAGTCACGCCCCCAAACAGAAACTGGATCCAAGTCTGCTCACCAACGGTGTGATGATAGAGATGCTTGATTTTGCCCGAGTGCTGTGTGGAAAACACACTTACCTAGTTTATGAACTGGTCAAGCACAACTTTGGTTATGCTTTTGATAAACCTCAGTTCCGAATGTGTCTAAACAGGGTGATCGAGAGAAAATACACCTGTCTGACAGCTGAGGACAAAGACACCTTCAGAAAGGAACTTTTTAAGATCCCGGCTGAGAAGAATAAATTGGAATATAAAGGTAAAAAACGAAAAACACCTGATGCAGATAACCAAGAACTGGAAGCACAAATTCTGGCCACCAATAAAAGACAAACACGGAAGCAGCAGGCTAGCAGAATGGAGGAGATGAAGGAGGATGATTTGTCATACATGTGTCCTGTTGAGTTTGAGACCGAATTGCAGTCAGAAACAGAAGCTGAGCCAGAAAATGTGAAACCTGAAAGTTGTTTGTCAGGAACGGAGGTAGAAATGAACGTGCTGCAGGATGTAAAGCCAGAAGAGGAAGAAGTCTTCATCTCACCAATGCAGCCTCTGAGTTACAGCCACAAATCGTCTTCGTCACCCACACAGACAAAGGATGCAAGTCAAGAATCATACTGGTGTCTGTTCTCTGAGGGAAGATGTGCAGAAACCCCAAAGCAGAGGCTGTGGCTGAGGCGCGCCGCTCGCACACAACAGATCCTGACGTCGAGCCGAGTCAATGATATGTTCGCCCACTGCAGAGAGATCGGATTAGACTTCAACTTTTGTTCACCAAAACGGAGCTTAGATCTACAACTGTTGACCAACTGGGTAATGTGGGAGGTTTTCAAGTTAGGAACTGCTTTGTCGAGGAGTGTACGCAGTTTTTTATTTGAAATTCTCTTAAACAACTTTACTCTTACGCTCCAAGATGAGCAACATGAGCGCAATTTCTTAGTTTACATGATGGCAAAACATAAAAATCTTGTGAACCACCCGAAGAGTCAGAATATGGATTTTCTCTGCAAGCCTTTCAAACTCCCTGAGATATACCACATGGTTGATGTGACCAGCAGTTTTCAGACTCAACAGGAACTCCAGAGTCAAGGGCAGAAAGGGTTAGATTCATCAGATTCTGCAAAGAGGGAAGAAGCTGAACAAGAAGAACACCCTTTTTGTAAAAAGTTGGGTCTAAATCTTTGGTCAACCGTAGAACGCCCGTCAGACCAGAAGCTTGATTTGACCATCCTGACAACAGGCGCTGTGCTTGAGATCTTCAGCTTTGTAAAGGAGCTGTGTGGTGAGGCCCGCAATACTGTTAATGACATCCTTGAGCACAATTTTGATCTTCATCTGCAAAGTGGTGAGACTGAGGCTGCGCAGAAGATCCAGAGATGGTACACAACACAGAAAAGCTTGATGAAAAAGCAAAACATGTCACCGAAAATCAACAGGTGGTTAAATACGATTGTCCCGCTGAAGGGCAACTTGCAAGAGATTCCTCACTCACCAACCGAAGATGGGGACCCAGATCCAGAAGGGGAATTGGACGGCTTTGGTGGATTTGTCAAACGCTTTGACTACCAGAACTGCAAGGAGATCGGACTGGACCTCGACCTCGGCTCCAAATCAGAAACCAAAACGAAACTGGATTTGAAGGTTCTGACAAGAGGAGTTTTGTTTGAGTTGCACCAATATGTGCAACAAAATTACAACCGATACGTTCCTGCTCTGTATGAGATTCTGGAGTACAACTTCGATCTGAGCTCTCAGAGTCACCGGAAGGTGGAGTTCGCCTGGTCCATCGCCTCACAGGTCATATCCATGACTGGCAAAAAACGCAGAAAAGGGGATTACCTGACCAAAGTTTTTGAGCTCCCTTTCGAGGCCTCAAAGGTCCCTGAGTCTTCCCAGGTGGTCTTTAAAGAGGAGCCGAAGGATGACTTTGGCGAGCCGGACTTTGGCGAGCCGGACAATGATGACATTGTGTTTGTCCGAAAACTGAAGCCTGTTGATATGGAAGTCGAGATAGAATAAAGTTCCAGCTGCTGTTTGTATTTCAAATGTCAGTTTTCAGGATAGAGTTGCGACTGAACTGCTTTATACCTACCAGGTTAAATCAGTTAAATTCACCTTTACCCATTCATATAGAAATGGGGATCCTCTTTCTGTTTAGCATGTGCCTAAAATCCAACTTGACCTTTACCCTGGTGGACATAAAGAGGATGAGACGCTTGATCGAGTTTTGTTTTGGTCTATAAAGTGGCAAAAAACAGCTTTTTTAAACTGTTGACATCTTGGGATTACTTGTAGCAAATATCTTTTAACTTGAAGAAGAAATACTTGCATTTAAAAAACTGAAACTTGATCATGTTTGAATTCAGTCAGGAAATCAGAGTTTAATGTCAGTGCCCAGCAGATCCAGCTGTGTCTCAGGAAGTGGGGTCTTTGCAGACGATAAAGGTTCTGAAATGTGAACGACGTGTTACTGCTGGGCCTCCTCGACTCTGCTGTGGTTCAGCGCTGCTTTATTCACAGTAGAGTTCTTTTGCGTACCATTAGGTGTGTTACGACTGGAGTGTAACAGACGAGGAAGTAGACTATCCACGTCAATGTAAACCGCTCAAAATTCAGCCATCAGTGACGTGAGTTAAAGAGGACAGAATGAATGGTCACGGCTGGCGTATTTAATTGTTTTGACTGATTCGTGATGTCACCTCCGTCATTTAATAAAATGTGAAAGAAAACATTCCACCTTAAAATTTGGTCAGTGTTCATTATTATTTGTCTCTTGACTTTATTTTAATAGTAAAGATCAAAAGTCGGTGAAATATCCTGTTATTGTAACAGTTT